GTTTCTTCGAGCTCTTGTGACGAAGACATCTTCCTTAACCAGGACAGCAAGTATCTTATGCGCAGATTACCATACCTTTATGGGTATCACTATGAAATCAAAACCCATGAACATCTTGTGAAATTATTCATGGTGAATTCACAGATTTTTCACTGGATTTTCGTGATAAAATCAATGGAATTTTCATGGTCTCAGTGCCATGAAAAAGACATGAAAAATCCCGTGAGAAACCTGTGAAAATTTGTAATATTCACGACCCATGAAATACTCTGTAAGGTGACCTAGAAGTCATGAAATGCCCATGAAAATGGCATTTTATGGCCTTTTCAGAGGTACTGAAAAACCCATGGATTTCATGTCAAAAGAATTCATTGCAGCAAAGCATGACCCCTTAATATCTTGCGAATATGTAAAAAGTTCATTGACCATGAAAATTTTCCCTGAAGTTTCATGGCCTCTCCATGGTATTTTCATGGCAAATGAAAGTTAATTGTCAGTTAGTTTTCATGGGGTTCTTGGGAATATGCAAGCACCATGAAAATTCTTTGGAAACTCCATTAATTTGGAATGAAAAAGTCTCCACTTTACTTGCACCAAAGACTATACTACAGTGTATATATAGCTGTATGCTTGCAATACAATGAAACTCTAGTGTGCTAAAATTCAAATGTAAGCTGTCAAGCAGCATTTTAATGTTATACTGTTTGTTTTTGTTAACACTCTTGAGAGTCAAGGGCTTAATTACAGTTGAATAATGAACTTTTTAATTAAAATCTTGCTGTAACTGTTAACAGTTTTGCACGAAATTATTATTAGTCCCTGTCTTGTTATGTAACATCCCTAGGGGCATATTTCTCTAAAAGAGAACACACGCTTCGAAACGAGAGAGTGGACGCTATTTCGTTAATAGTCTCTGGGTGCGAACAGAGCAAGAATCGTAACGTGAATACAAGGTTTACTTCGGGAAAGGAATACAGAATTGTAAGTACAATTAAAACATATTTGAAGTCCAACAAGATTGTTCTATTTGACGAGGAATCCTGAAAATGAACAAACTGCACTGTAAAAACACTGCGAAAACAGTCGAATCGCAAATAGTAACGAAATAAAAAAAAAGTCTTGCGATGGCTTTGCCCGTAAACTATCTTTTTCGACCATGAAAACGCACAAGAATTTCTACAAGTTCGTCACGATGTAAACAGTTGAAAAAGCTCTCGATAACATTCCATTTACAACATTTACAAAAGTTTTACACAACACTTGAACTCACCTTTCCCGCTAAGTCTGACGCCATGTTGAAATAGTTCCGATCCATCATCACGTGTTCGCATAATCCAATCAGAAATGGACTTCTGATTTGAACATTGATCCGCGCCTTTTCAAAACGGATACGGCTATCGGGTTCAATATTCAAATAATCAATCCATTATTGCATTCTTGAAACGGTTAGCGGGTTCCATGTTCAAATATTCAATTCGTTATTGTGCTCCTGAAACGATTAGCGGGTTCAATATTCAAATAATCAAATCATTAATGTAATCCTGAGGGGTACGCTTCACTTAGTTTGACAGTAAATAACAAATTGTTTTTAGGTCACGTTTCAATCGTTTTCAAAACAAATTCAGTACCACCAAATTTATTTCGAAATCAATTTTTGCGGTAAAACCAAAGTGATTTGAGAGCGAGAGAGAAGTAGGAATTAAAATTATTTATTACACGACTCGGGCAGTCAGAGGGCCAATAACTAAAATCAACCAATCAAAATGCTCTATTGCCGGTCAATATTCTCTCAGTATTGGACCGGGCGCTGTCCCGAATGGTCCCGAATGATACCGCACTTGTATCCCTTTGAACTTCAGTCGCATAATAAATCTCTTATTAACCAAGCTTGCTCGGGACC